GTACAAGTTTAACAACAGTTCAGTGAAATAGCATATGCCTAACCAATCAATAGGTTCAGCAATCCTCAATATTTAATGAAGACTGACATCTCTCAGTGCACAAAGTTAGGCACATGCACGTGTATTTTCAGAATCGTTGCCCTATTTTCTAACCAGCTGTAATCCTTTATATTGTTTCTACCTGCAGACACCTCTGGCTACTACAAGTTTAACAACAGTTCAGTGAAATAGCATATGCCTAACCAATCAATAGGTTCAGCAATCCTCAATATTTAATGAAGACTGACATCTCTCAGTGCACAAAGTTAGGCACATGCACGTGTATTTTCAGAATCGTTGCCCTATTTTCTAACCAGCTGTAATCCTTTATATTGTTTCTACCTGCAGACACCTCTGGCTACATCTACACTGCAGAGTTTTTGTGCAAAAACTCACAGAGCATCCACACTACAGGAGTGTTTCTGTGCAAGAAAAAGTACAGTAGATTGTCAGAAAACAGGGCTTTTTGCACAAGAGTTATTCCTCTTTCTACAAGGAATAAGCCTTTTTGCGCAAGAGCTCTTTTTCAAAAAGGCATGTGTGGACGGACTACAGGGGTTTCTTGTGCAATAAACCCCTATCGGAAAAAGCACAGGTGCTCTGATGGCCATTCTGTGATTGGCTATCAGAGCTTTTTTGCGCAAGAGTGTCCATGGCAGTGTGGACGCTCTCTTGTGCAAAAGCACATGGCAGTGTGGACGTGCTCTTGCACAAGAACTTTCTGTGGAAGATCTCTTCCGCAAGAAGCCTGCAGTGTAGACATAGCCTCTCTCTCAGACTTGATACTTCTAATTCTATTCTTCTGTGTACTTCAATATTAACTATTTCCCGTTTCCATTTTGGGTGTTTAATACTGGCTAATGCTGTAGTCACACAAGTCCACGGACTGAAAAGATTCATCAACCATTAGAACACTTTTTCTTACGTTCAGAAATAAATGAAACAATGTTTCAACTTTTCATCAACACTTTCTTCTTTATCATTTAGTATACTGCCTGGAATGCAGTCTCAGAAGGTGCTATTTTTTTAAAAAAAAAATCTTTCCTGGAATGCAGTCTCAGAAGGTGCTATTTTAAAAAAAAAAAAAATCTTCCTTAGCACTGAGCATTCACCCACCCAATAGGCACAGACAACATTATCCAACCACTAGAAACAGCAGTTGCAAATCTCTATTAGGTAGGACCTTAAATTCCCTGACCCACTCCATACTGTGGTTACTTCATTTTTAGAGACATAGAGAACGTTAAACCAAAAATAAAAACTACAAAACTAACTAGATCCTCAATGTTTTATACTGAGAGCCACATTTTCAGAAGAGCTCAGTACTTACTCAGAGGTCAGCTCATATTTAAGGCAACTAAATATATGCTCAAATCTCAAAACAACTCAGCATCAAATGTAGTGATATCTGGCCAGATTTTCAGAAGTGATGCTGACGCTTAAATGGGAACAGAGCTCTTCTGAAAAATGCAATCTTCACAGTCAGTCTGCTCTAAATTAAGGCTAATTTATAGATGAAGTAAATATTTTCCCTGTCTCAACTGTGTTACTTCACTCCCGTAAAATATTCTCAAAAATTCAGTAGCATACAGACAGTGGAGAAACCAGACTGGTGACATCAATGACAGATCATCTTAATCCAAGTCAGACAGAGCTACAAGAGCAAACTGCAAAGAGACAGACACAACTGAACAGTTTCTTCCTTGTTTTTAATAAAGTTCTCAAGGAAAAATAATGGTACTGTTGCAACAGGAAATTGTTTATTCTCTAGTTCAAAAAAAATAACCTACTGTATTTGGATGCAAGATCACATTTACAATTGAAGTGAGAATGCACATCAATATTTCCTCCCAGTAAAGGGAGCCTTACTGCTCTGCATGGTCCCACGTCTAGAGAGAGTTAAAAATGGGAGCAGATTAAAAACATTTGCCAACTTCCTACTCCTTTTTATTATGGAAATTCACTTTTCAAGAGAAGTTGCTCCCAAAATTTAAACAAAAAACATATCAACTAATCCTAATCAAACCAGTATAATGATGCATACAGCACTCGTACGGCAGGACATGATTACTAAGACAGCTATTGGCCAGGGTCTTTTTTATATCTAACTCTAGGAATTATTGCTTTGGAGTGTGGGAGGAAGACAGAAATTTATGGTTAGGAAAGATCTTTAAACTAAAACTGTTTTAGAAAAGTGGTATGGGGAGAAGCATAATGCTTATAAAACACCAGAAAGTAGTCTAGAAATTAAACTTGTCTCTTTAAACACAAACAGTATGGACGTGTTTGAACTATCCAGCCTTCTGCTTTCTATGCTTGACTTTTAGTCTGAGGTTACCAACAAAGTCACTACCAATGGTATTTTTGGTTATGGATTTCATGCAGACAACTCCTCACTCAACTCACTTCATATAGACCAAAGGTGGGGAACTTAAGGCTCGGGGGGCAGATGCAGCCCCCGGCTTGCCTGTATCCAGCCCCTGAGGCTTGGGGCTACCTTCCACCACAGGAGAGCCCTCACTGGCAATCCAGCACCCCTGCTCCCAATGATCCCCTGCAGGATTAGAGCACACAAAATCTACTAGCCTGGGCCCCTGTAGGCACCGGTGTGCAAGGGGAATCTGGGGAGTGTCTTTATCCTTCTTAGGGTTACCAGATGATTTCTGAAAAAGTACCAAACAAAAAAAAAAAAGACCCGGAGAGTTGTTAAACAAAAAAAAACAAAAAACAAACAAAAAAAACACAACAAGAGCATGACCCATTTAAGAAACGTGTGGTGAGGCTTTTTGGCCCTAACAGGCTGCCAGCAGCCACCTGCCATCTTGCCTCCGAGCACAAGGCCGGAACAACTCCCCTATGGAACTCAGTAAGCACTAGGGTTGCCAGGCTGCCTCCGTATTGAGCTGGACAGCCTGGGATTTTTGCCTCCTGGCCAAGGGGGGAAAAAAATCATAAAATACCGCAGCCTGGGATTTTTGCCTCCTGGCCAGGGGGGGGAAAAAAAATCATAAAATACCAAACATTGTAGGTGTCCGGTATTTTCTGAATTTTTTACCAGACAGGAGGCGAAAATACCGAACTGTCCAGTTAAATACCAGGCACCGGGCAACCCTAATCCTTCTCAGTCGAGGGCCAGGTCAATGAGGGTTTTTGTTTCGTTTCGTTTCTTGCTTCTCATTTACATGTGGACCCTGACTGATTTTTCAGCAGCCTGCAACCCAAAAAGGAAAAAAGCAATTTGGTCTATATCAGGGGTGGGGAACCTATCTGAGCTGGGTTCAAACTGACAGACTAAGATGTCCACGTATCTTAGTTCTAATATTCTGACATACCCAATTAGTGCCCTGAGTTATTCCTTTCTACATTATACTCTCTCTCTCTCAAGTGATTTTACTGAATCTGACAGTGGTTCAGTAATTTCAATTTGAATGTTAGTGGTATCCAGGAAAAAATAAATAAGTCAATGCTAACACTGTATGTATTTTCTTACAGTGTTAGAAGATTACAGCTGGTTACATGTGAATATGTCTACACTGCAATAAACCAGCCACAGCTGGCTCATGTCAGTTGACACACGCTTTCAAGGTTCCAAACATTGGGCTATGAAATTACAGGATAGACATTCAAGCTCCAGTACCCCAAAGAAGCTTAAACATGTACATGAAATTGTATATGTAAGCGGGGGAATGGTCCCGCTATTGTGGGGAACTTTCCTGGCTTATATACCACCCCGGTGAAATGGACCAGCGAAAGGATCTGAGTCCCCGCTCCCACTTCCTTTACCCCATGGCTTCCCTGATCCTGAGGGCTCCCCCTCCACTCTCCTAAGTAGCAGAGTCCTCGAAACCCCAACAAGGCTGGGCCCAGGTTTCCTGGGGCTTAATCCCCGACCTTGTAGTCACTAAGGGCAGGAGTTAGGGTGCCCCACTCCGAGGTGCTCTTTTTACACTGCATGCTTTCTTGGCCCAGTGATCATTTCATAAGGTTCAAGCAAGTACAATTTATTAAACATCAACTGATTAAAGAGAAAAGAATAAGAAAAAAATGAGAATGGTTAGATGAGAACACACAGTCCTGCTCTGTAACACAGGGACATCAAAACAGCAGTCTGCAGAGTGTAAGGACAGTTCACAGTCTCTTCCTTATAGGCCCCTTAGAGGCCCTGGATGTGCTGCAGGGGGGCTGCAGGCTGGACACGCTTGCTCTGGCAGTGACCACACAGCCTCAAGCTCTAAGTGGCCAGACCCCTCTCCCAGTCTGGCCTGCTGGGCCTCTT